TCTTCCTTCCTGACATCTTCCCAGGACACACCTCGTCCTCTTCCCCATCCACAGACATCCACTGCTTTCCATTTCTGGCCTCAGAGAGGGTTTCAGGATTTGCTAAAGCCATCAGCCACCTCCTTGTTTCTCACTGACATCTCTCGACCCTCTCTCTGAGCCCTACACATTGCCAAGCAATCAGTGCTGCTCAGAGCTGCTCTCTCTTCACAAGAGGCCTTGAGATTCCTGCATATTCCTGGTGCTTAGTAACTATCTTCCTGGCTCTCTCCAGAGCTCATGGCAAACGTTGTTGTCTACAACAGGGCCTTTATGACCATTGTTTATGAAATCATTGTCTTTTTAAGATCTTCTCTGCAGGAAGTATAGCCACAGAAAAGCACCAAAGCCACTACAACAGAGTCTGAATGAAGTGCCAGTAAGAACCAAGTGAGCAACACCCAAGGCTCTGGCTTCCTGGCAAGGAGTCTCTCCTGTTTGTCACCTTTTCTCATGAAAGGAGCAGGAAAACTGTCCATCCCATGGAGCTCTGCTGAAGGAAGATGGAGCTGTACATAGCGTGAGGCGATACAAGTGGCATCAGCAGGTAGAGAAGACTCCTGTAGGGAAGGCTTTATGAGGGAGTACCCTGACTTCACCCAGATAAAGAAGAGACCAGGCAGTGTGCTGACATGATGGTTAGAAGTATCCTGGGGTAAAAGAGCATGGATGAGAGCAGGTGGGAGAGATTTGGTTTGCAGAGATTTGAGGTAGTGCTTTCTGCGTCTGAGCAGCCTGAGGTTTGGAGCCAAGGAAAAATATAGATCTCAAGGACTTTTTGGAATTAGTGGAACTATCACTAATAGCAGTAACAGGACAGTGCTGAAAGGGAACTCTTTTGTATTCTCGATGATGAACTAAAGCTATTTAGTTTTTTTTTGTCTTTTTACATGACAAAAATAGCTATGAGTTGTCAGTAATTAGCCTCTGGTATACAATTCTTAGAACAAGTGTCCATGATGGCACCTCCTGGCAGCTGCTTCATGGCCCCTGTCAGCACCCTGTCCTTGTGCTGGCCCAGCCCCACTGCCCATAAACAGTCCCACTGCCCCACTGTGCAGGCACAGCATGGGAAAGGGGAGAGTCAGGGGTGGGGACCTTCCCCCCATTGTGATCCCAAAGATGGCCTTCAGATCACGGTTCCCCCATGACCTTCCTACTTTTGCAGCTTCCCCAGCACCTGACCCATGCCCTGCCGCAGCCTTGTCCCACATGGGATTTTGCAGATAGCTCTGCTCCAGGGTCTTCAGAAGGACAGAAGCTGGACAGGGCTGTCTGTTCCCCCAAACCAGCCCTTGGACCAGCAGGAAGCTGGAGATAGCCTCACAGCAAAACTCACCCGTAAACCCGGGGTGACCAGCAAGTGCTGGAAATGGCCAATGAGAGATGCTGGGGGTGACAAAGGCCCTGAGCCACCTTCGCAGTCTGTCCACACCAAAGGCACAGACCAGACTCCTCCTCTCCCCTACACCTGCATGTCTTTCATGATTTCCACAAGCCCTGGCTCTGAACGACAAAACCCCGGTGTGAGTCCTCACCCTGCGTGGCCACACACTGCAACCTATACCCTGGTATTTTTCTCTCCTGGGCACTTTCCAGACCAGACCAGCTCCCCCTAAACTCTTCCCACCTCCCCTGCCCTCTCCCCAGCACAGCCCAGTCTGGCATGGCCCCACAGCAGTGCCCACCACAGGGTGCGGCAGAGCTCTGGGCACTCACCCCACAGCCCCAGACCCTCTGAAGGGCACAGCAGCTCCTCGGGGGTGGAGAGGGCTGAGCCCCAGGGCTGGGGGGCATCTGTGGCACAAGGCTTGAGGAGATCCCCTTGTATGATGGAAATGCTGCTATGGAGGCCAGCTCTGTCACACAAGTGCCCATTGCCTGTCCTTGCCTGCAGTCACAGGCCTGACACACGGAAGTACTCTAACCAAGCTTGAAGAGCACTCAGGCCTTCCACCAACCCAAGGGTTCAGAAGGAAAGCATGGAAGTGGGAAGAGAGCAGCTGGGGAAAGACCAAGCGCTGGTGCTCCCTGGCAGTGCTGCTGTGCCAGGACTCTTTTCTTCTTCCCCTCTGCACACAGGCACTGCTCCCTGCAGCTGCAGAGAAGGTCTTGGAGGAAGGATCTCAGAAAAACAAGTCACTGCAGGGCCCTTTATTTTGTTTAAAATCACAGAGGGTACGGCTCCTTATTTGCACAGCCTCCAGGTCACAAAAAAAGCTGGATATATTGTGAATTAGAAACTGGAGTAATGAAGACATTTCTTTGTGGAAAGCATTCAGATAAGTAAACCAAAGGGAAATAGAAGGTGTAAAACCACACCCAAAATCACCATAAAAAGACCAGCAAAAGACAGGTTGGGTCTGTAATGAGATATAAGTACTATGCAGAAGACAAGAGGCAGTTTATTCCTTCTAAAAAGCATCCAGTCATTAGTTTTCTCAGGGCATCCTTGATCTCATGGTTTCTCATGCTGTAGATGAGGGGGTTCAAGGCTGGAGGCACCACTGAGTACAGAACTGCCAGCACCAGGTCCAGGGATGGGGAGGAGATGGAGGGGGGCTTCAGGTAGGCAATTGTGGCAGTGCTTACAAACAAGGAGACCACAGCGAGGTGAGGGAGGCATGTGGAAAAGGCTTTGTGCCGACCCTGCTCAGAGGGGATCCTCAGCACAGCCCTGAAGATCTGCCCATAGGACAGCACAATGAAAACAAAACAACCAAATGCAAAACAGACACCAACTCCAAGTACCCCAACTTCCCTGAGGTAGGCATCTGAGCAGGAGAGCTTGAGGATCTGGGGGATTTCACAGAAGAACTGGTCCACAGCATTGCCTTGGCAGAGGGGTAGTGAAAATGTATTGGCAGTGTGCAGCACAGCATAGAGGAACCCACAGCCCCAGGCAGCTGCTGCCATGTGGACACAAGCTCTGCTGCCCAGGAGGGTCCCGTAGTGCAGGGGTTTGCAGATGGCAACGTAGCGGTCATAGGCCATGACAGTGAGAAGAAAACACTCTGCTGAGATCAAAAAGACTAACAGAAAGACCTGTGCAGCACATCCTGCATAGGAGATGGCCCTGTTGTTCCAGAGGGAGTTGGCCATGGCTTTGGGGACAGTGGTGGAGATGGAGCCCAAGTCGAGGAGGGCGAGGTTGAGGAGGAAGAAGTACATGGGTGTGTGGAGGTGGTGGTCACAGGCTATGGCGGTGATGACAAGGCCATTTCCCAGGAGGGCAGCCAGGTAGATGCCCAGGAAGAGCCAGAAGTGCAAGAGCTGCAGCTCCCGCGTGTTAGCAAAAGCCAGGAGAAGGAACTGGGTGATGGAGCTGCCGTTGGACATTTTCTTCCTCTGGGAATGGGGTGCTGTCAAAGTAGAAAAAAGACAGTGAAGAGTCAGGGCATTATTCTCTGAGCAATATCAAAGCCATTTCCCATAGACCCTCCCACTCTCACACACACAGACCCTTTTCCT